TTTCTAAAGGGAGGGGAAGGCATTACTCTTCTTCAATTACTTTACCCTTCTGGATAATTCTTATCTGTCGAGGGACTGGAAGTGGCAGCTCTCTGGTCTTGGGACAGACTCTCTTGTCTTTAATGTGGTCTAATTGTGTGTTGCTCACATATTAAGGAGCTGCTTTGACTTTCAGTCACTCACCTACAAGACAGAGTGCTGTTGTGCATCCGAGACCACTGCCTGTTCCACAAAATTACCCTCAGCCTAAAAATAGACCACTGCATTGTGTACACACACAAACACCCCCACACATACACTCACTACAACAAACATGCAGAGATACACACATATTGGATATTTACAGTTCAGTATGACAGTCATGGATTCGCTCTGCATCTTTCATGCTTGGCCAGCCATTCTCTCTCTAGCGTTTTGGCTGTTTTCCAGCTGCGTTGTTGCCAAACGTTCACACATTCAGTATGCAGCTATAACACCAAAAGTTTTCTTATTTCTGTTGAGAGGGGTACCTCAGTTGATGTTTGCACCAGGGAGACTTCTTAAGCCTTTCTGTTTACTCAATACTGGTGAAGGTGAGTCATTTCTGACATTTAAAAAATTGGTGTATGAGATTTCATGCACTGTATGTTTGCTGGCAAAGACAGGGTATATGTGTAACATAAAATTGTATTTAACGGTGATAAAAAAAATGTAAATCTTCAGCTGATAAGCCTGATACAGTGTAGTTATGACAATATCTTTGTTAAATGACAACATGAGTTCCACAACCACCAGAGGATGGGCTTCTTTCCATGTTAATGGTAGTTTTATACAGTGTCTACCTTCTCAAAGCTCAGATTTCAGGAAAATTTACCTTGTGGCATAAAAGGAGCTGAACTACTTGGTTTCTCTGAAGGATAACCTCCTGATAAAGTGGAGCAACACTTCAGGGTACTTAGCTTTTGCTCAATGCTTCTGCCTCTTTTGGCAGGCAGTGAATTCAGCTCTGATGTTTCCTTAGAAAACAACATTAAGACTACAAAACCACTTTGAAGCTTTTAGGAGCCCAGTTATTGTGGACTGTCTGGTAAGCATTAATTTGGTGTTACTTCTGTTTAACAATCTCCAGTGTTTTCTAGAGAACATTTAATAAATATAAATTGTAGTCAACTTTACTAAGTATGAGGCCATGATTCTTTACTGGAAAAAAAAGTGAAATTCACCCTCTGGGTCAGGTTGGAGGAATTCAAACCTGGGATATTTGTTCATGAGTGGAATATGGACTAATTGCAGTCTCACCAGCAAATATGAGGGTATTGTTCAATCTGTCAAAGTGAAGAAAGAGAAGAATTTACTGGTCTGTCTACAGTGTAATGTGCTTCCTCTGAAGGGTGGCCAAGCTTAGCCTTAGAGATAGCTTGGAGTAACATCACTGTTCCTCCTCAAAGTGGTCAGCTGAAGCTGTGTTTACAGTTGATATGTCTCACTGGGCATGAGTGGGCATGCGCCAAATGTGACGCAATCGCCCCATCCCAGCCCCTGTGCGTTGGCCCCGTGCTGTGTCCTGGCGTGTGGTCATGCACCTCCGAAATTTTGTAACTCCGCAAAGACTGGGTGCGCCTTGCATCATTCAAACAGCTTGTTTGTTCTTCACACTTTTGCTCTCCTATTTACAACATTTCACAAGTTATAAAGTGTACTTCTATGTGTCCTTTTGGAGAAACCTACAACAACATAATGGCCAAGTATAAACGCTTCCACCGCTGGCGAGAGTGCGCGCGCACCCTCTGCGACTACCCAAAGCTGGACTATAACCGAGCTGTTGGGTGGTTTGGGCATCTGATTAGAAATTTGCTCTTGTTTTCTGGGCACGTCCCACTGGGAGCAGACCCCGCTGGCTGTTTCTCAATTCATAGGTTGCAGTCGACGTAGACCGTGGCCCACCTTAGCCACAGCCTATGGGCCGTAGGCCGCTTATGTCGGCTGCATAATAATGAGACGGTCTAGTCTCATTTCACAGCTTAAAAAACTCTCCCCGTCTTTGTTTTTCTGATTCATTTGCCGACGGCGCAATTCATTTTGGAATTCCATCTGGCGTATAGGGTACTCAGATGCAGCCGATGTTTTCGATGTTTTGTCAGCCGCACGAGTAGATGCCTACGAATTGGGACTGCCTACGGCACGGGGCAGTCTGACAAATCTGACTGACATCAGCTGCAACCCATGAAGTGGGACACAACCAGCATACTCACTAGTTGTATATGTATCCTCTCTCACCTGGGAACACTTCGGATACTACAAAATGAGCAAGTTGCATGAAACTACTGCTTTTGTTTGCCATTTATTCCTTCTCTGTGGCCAGAAAGAAGCCACAAATCGTTCTTTTTATTGACCATTTCTGTTTAGAAAAGCAAATAAAATATAATTTAGGGTTTTAGGGTAAGGCTACTGGTATTTCCACTGTGACACCGGCAGTATTAGATGTCCTTTTATCCATCCAAAAGGGAAAACGGTTGTTTAAAAGAGAAGTGAGATGATGTTTATTTATTGCATTGATATAGACGTAGAAAAAAAATGTTGAATCAAAAAATAATTCAATGTGTTTTAGTTTCAGAGTCACTTCCCAAATAAAAATAAAAAAAATTTCAAATTAGATTTCTCATAACTTCAGTACAACATTTTATAGTGTTGTAGTTGAGTCAGTAAACACTGTGAAGGTTTGCTTTCGTTTACTGAGCCACATCTGATATGAATAAAGGTGTACTTAATTTCAAAGTTCATACCCTTCCAAAAAAAAAATAACACAGTCAGTAGCCTTAATTTAAATTTTATTAATCACAAACCCTTAATTGTATATGAATAACATATTATTGTAATTCAGAAAAAGCTTTATTCCCACTTGTTAATGATTGAGTTGGACCTTGCAAAGGCCTGGTTGTTGCTTCTGTTATATAAGAAGGAAATCATAAAAAAGTGTCTTTTCCTAGAAGTGTAAAAGCTTAAAGTATAAATATATCTCTGTAACCTCATCTAAGTTGTTGCAGCTGTACACACTTGTGATTGTCAAGGGAAATTATGTTAGCAAAGATGTATAAATATGTGGATATTTGGACATACACACATTTTTCTTTTTTTGAGTATACAGAAAGTCCTTTTTTCTCAGTGTCACATTTTTCTTTCAGAAAAAAAAACCACTGGTTTCATTAGCTTTTATAGTTTCTAACACTAAGATGGATGCATTGTCACAACCACAGCATTCCAAAAGTTATTGAACCGTTTGTTTTAGGAGTGAAGGTTCAGCATCCAGACCTTTTTAAACAGGCCAAAGCATTGACTTCCAGATCACAAGCCCTCTTTTTATTCCTCCTTTTTACCAATCGATGGAGGCTTTGTGACCTGACAAATGGTATAGCAATGTCGGCTGTCACTGTCACAGAGATCAGGTAGAAAATTGTCTCTCATCATATAATGGCTGTAATCAGGTAACAACTGGGGCAGAAAATGAGGGGTAGTTAAAAAAAGGAGATAATGATGGGGCAGGCGAAGGTCCATTCAGTACTGCTCTAAGTAAGATTGAGTGCTCTGATGAGGTGCAAGCAGCCTATTTCCAAATATAAACCACTGTGACCCAGACAACTGCCACACTTTTAATCTAAGCCTTTTTAACCAAACATTTGATGCACGGATATGATATCCTTCACGAAAATACACCTGACTGCTGTTGGTTCTGTCAGATAAACAGAACAAGTTTAGCTTTGCCAAACAAATAATGTTAAAAATCAGCAACTTTCTACAAAACATTACTTTTGGGAAAACTAAAAATATAAAAGCTCAGACTCAGTTTACAATTTAAATAGCATTTTGATAATAAAAATCACAAAAACTGAGGATGTCCTGATGCATCTCAGTAATCCAGGTAAAAAATCAAAGGAAAAAAAATTGTATAGGTCCTCTGGACGGGTTCTTCTTTAATGAAACGTTTCGTCTTTCTTCCAAGAGACTTCTTCAGTCTGAGAGTTTCAGGCAAA